CGAGAATTGCTAATGCAATTGCTTTTATTTATGTTCCTTTTGCTTTGTTAACTAAAAGCTAAACTTGTTTTGTCGTTTAATTTTTTGTTATGATGCTTTGTTCTAGTGCCTTGTTAGTTTTGTAATTCAACGAATTCCAAATATTTACTCATAATATAAGTAGTACTTCTTAGTTACCTTTTCGTTGTTCTTTTTACTGATTATGCCATATACAATACAATACAATACAATACAATATAATAAATGTAAATAAGTTTTTGCCTTTCAATATATATTCAAAGTGTTAAGTCTTTTATTTTTGCTGTTGCTGTTACTGTTCTTGTTGTTGTTGTTGTTGTTGTTGTTTTCGTTTCTTCGTTGTTAGTAGTCGCTTGACTGCCTCTGCTTCTTCTATTTACTATTTATATGTATGTATTTGAGAGTATACATAACTCGTGTTTAGATTTTTTGTTTTATTATTAGTTTATTAGGTCATTTGGAATTTTAAGTGTTAACGTGCTAAGTCTTATTTTTGTTTATTCGTTGTTGTTCGAATCGCTTAATTATTTATAATTTTCAATACTCGGTTGCTTAGTGTAGTATGTTGTTTGTAAATACTGAGGTGTTGCTACATAAATAAATATACTTGTAAAATGTCATCGAATGCCTTCGGACTTTGCATTGCTTCACTCTATCACTCTCCTCCTCCACTTTCTCCTCCTCCTACTCATCGTCCACGTCCACGTCCTCGTCGTCGTCCTCATACCTTAAGAAAGGCAGAGGCGACCGCAATTGGCGTTTCTCTTTTTGTTTGCCACAATTCCCTTTGTTGCGCAGCTCGGCGAAACGAGCGCTCGTAAAAATGCACCATTGACACAAAAAGGGACAACATTGACTTGGGGGAGCAACAGATAATGAAAACAATGGATCATGACATAACCTAATGCTACAAATACACTGAATTTAACAATTGCATTTAAAGTTGCGCTGCTTCTGTTGTATACAACTATGTATATATATATTTGTGTGTGTGTGTGTTTGTGTGTTTGTATGTTTCTCCTTTTTCTCAGATAACTCTATGCTACAAATTTATCAACGTTAACAATTTTATAACAATATTTGATGACCCTTTCAAATGTTTGGCGATAAAGAACAAACGAAATGCACACAATTTTTCTTTCCCCCATTTTTATGCTTTTGTTTTTGGATTTATTTGTGCGTTTTGTTGTAAACATAATTAAACAAAAATGGGAGGGCCTGGTAAAAATTAAATTTCGACCACTAAAGTTTTGGAGTAAAGCTTGCCCAAGTATGATGCTTTTCGCTACTTGTTTTTTTTTCTTTTCTTTTTTGATGATTTCTAAAATATGTTTTACTCTTCTATAATAATAATACTATTTAAGCTTGTTATGCCTTAAAGTTTGTTGAAAACTACGTTTTATTGCTTTTGGATACACGTAAATACTATGTCTTATCTTTGGAGCTCGGCATGCATTTATAATCAGAGTATCAGTTGAGCAAAATAATGTGAATCAAGGTATGTTTGTATGTAAGTATGTATGTTCGTCTTGTATCATTGTAATTGCGGGCTATCACAATACTAGAATTGCTTTTGAGTTTCGACATATTGACTGGAGTATGCAAATCTTATATTTAGACAAATCGGACTGCCTCAAGCTTAATACGCAGTCCTATTGAATAACATTTGAGTAACCTCTGTATCTGGTTTCATAGTCTTTTCTTTGTTGTTAAATGAAGTTGTTCCTTGATTTAGAAATACTCTTCAAAGTTACTTTGCAATCGTTTACCATCCCACCAAATTTTCGTATAGCTTTGAAATTTTCCTGATTTTTCAAATCGAATTATCAATTGCATTTCTTTGGAGTAATTTAGCTCCGAATGTTTCTTGAGTTGCGTATTAAGCTTCAGATCCATGCGAATGGTGAATTTGAATATCATTGCATTGTTATCCTCTCTGCAGGAATATTGTCGTATTTTGTAATAGTGCGGAAAACAATTGAATGATGAATTTAAAAATCAAATAATATTATAAAGAATATAGTATGTCATAATAAATTCAAAACTAAATTGTATGTAAATGAAAAACGATTGTTTTGTATTTATGGTGTAAGTATTCATATATATATACATATATATGTATATATATTGTATATTTATAACTTTATATTGTTCTTGTTGTTTTAATACATGTGTGCTGCATTGCTAATTGTAAGTAGTTTCAACCTTACAGTACTTAGAGTCTAGTAAATGTATTAACTTGTATTTTATTGCTTCATTCAGCATAATAAATTATGCAGTTATAACTTGTTTTTGTAGATTTTTTTTTTAATTTGTTCAATTTTCTTTTTACATTGTTATACAAAATTTAATTGTAATAAGTATTATTGCCGGGCTTTCATTCAACTTTCTCGAACGCAAATTTAATAAATATTTTGCTTGTCGCTTACGAATACATACACGTACATCTCTCATCATTCTCTTCTTTAACAATTTGATTTAAGAAGAAAACTCACTACTACTAAGTAAGTATGCTACAAATAAATATACTATATAGGAGTTATAATTCTCAGTGGAAATAATAAACCAGCCTATATAAAGTTAATACTACTTTAATATTTCTCGTTTCATGTTATATTTTGAGTATTGCTTTGGTACTTTAGCCGATTATATTTGCCTTAAAACTTTTGCTTCTCGTCCCAATTCATCCTCTTCGTCCTCATCGGTACATTCAACAGTATAAAAATAATTTCATGATTATACTCACTAAGTTAACTTAAAAGTATGTTCTATGTATATATATATATATATATGCTAATATGTATATATGTGTGTGTTTGTAAATATTACGCAGCTACATACGTATTATCTATATATATATATATATATATATATATATATATATATATATATATATATATATATATATATATATATATATATATATATATATATATATATATATATATATATATATAATATATGTACATATATATATATATTCCTCTTCCCTTCCTTCACCTGCTTAGACTTCCTAACAATTTTTCTGTTTCGCATAAAGCGCCGTCAGCTTTGTCTTAACTTTGCTTTTTACTAGTGTTTTTTGTTTTTGTTTTTTTTAGGCTACGTTCTCTACATCTATGGCCACAATGTTCGTTGCACTTCTTTGAGATCGGTCGCTGAAGCTGATTTCAATGGAATGTTATGTACCTATGATTCGATATTTACATAATCGTATTTGTGCACCGTATTTTAAGTAATTGCGTATGTATAAATGAAAATATGAGATACATAAGTAATATATGTAGTGGTAAGTAATATCATATTAGACTGTTAAGTTTTGAGAAGTGCAAAGTATTTTCACGCATGGACGAAGTGTACTGTTAAATGCTTGAGACTAGATCACACTCGATATTTTTTCATGGGTGAGGGGCGCTGTAGTGGCGAACTCTTTGAAGCGCTCTACAAAAGCGAAAAGCTTCAAATCATTTGGTCTTGGTCTGCACTGCAGTTTTTCTAATTATTGTTAATGTGTAATGGGCCTCAACAAAATGTACTGAAATTTTTGCTAGTTTCTGTGTTCGTGTGTTTTTTGTTTTTCTTAGTCTGGAATACTTTGGTCTGCAAAAGTGCGCACATTTTGAAAACTTGACATATTGGAGTAAACTGAAGATAAGCACTTTGCTTTTTAAATAATGTTTATGTTGCTGTTGTACAGCGACTAGAGATACTTTTTCTATTTTATAAATATATGTATGTAATTCTATATGTTATACTCGTAAATAATTTGCATATTAAGTGCTTGTTTTTTGTTTGTTTGGTATTTCTCTTGCTAATTGACAATTACATGTTTTTTTTTTTTGTTTTTGGTTACTCAACTCAAACGCGACGGAATGCTAAAATGAAGGATACTGGAAAATGAAAAAAAAAAAAAAAAAATCGCCCAAATATTTCGGACTCCCCCATATAAGCAGAAACTGATTTTCTAGTCCTACACTCTTACTATGTATATGACGCTATAGGCGCCTCTCAAAAGGAGATGTAGTATTGCTTTATTTGCATTCGATTACTTTTTTTGAGGGGGTTGTTTCATGTTTGAAATTTCGTTGTATGTTTTCTCTAAGGATTCGAGTGCTGAGTGTGCTCCTACTGTCCTTGATTCTATGCGACTTAATTTAAAATTTTGTGATGACAATTGCAGCGAGTTTCTAATGGCCAAATGGCCTAATAGCTACACTGGCTCACTGCTCACTGGTACTACTAATTACTTCTTATAGATAGGCTGCCCTTACCACCTAATTCGTTGTTTGAGAAACATTGCATTTGCTTTTGTATTCGTTGCATTAAATTTTAATCACTTCGTCTTTGTCATCGTCACTTTACGCTTGAGAGAGAGTTAGAGATTAAAAGTTTGATAGCTACAGGTTATAGTACAATATATATTCGATAGATATAATATATAGATAGATGCGTTTCTCATAATAGTTGAGCGCTTGCATAAAATTGCTTAATTTTCAGGTTTGAACTGCATTTAAGGTTCCATTTAGACCTAGACCCCATGCAGTCGTGCAAAGGCTTTTGTGTGTACGTTTTGTATGTGTGTGTGTGTGTGTGTGTGTGTGTGTGTGTGTGTGTGTGTATGTGTGGGGTTCCTTAGAGGGAATGTTTTTAGGAATGGTTTTTGAACTCGCTTAAGATTAAAAGAAGAACGAGATTAGGGTTTCTAATAGGTTTTCTGTTTGCTTTCTTGTTGCTGTCTAACGTGCCTAATGCGAAATTCTACAGTCTCTGTGTTACTCTACTACACTTGCTTTGGACGTATTGTGATGTCAAGTATGTTTATATATAAAAACTGGTATCGAATATTGCTAACTGAGAATATAAATGTTGCCGCATTTGCAGGAAGCTCGGCATTCATTTTTCATTATTTTCTATTCGTGAACTTCCAGCTTCCTAGAAACGTTGCTTTTAACTCTAAACTTAATGAACTAAAAATTGCTTTGTTCTGCCATCCAGTCCCCCTTACTCACATCACTTAGACAGCAAAGGCCCCAATTGCCATCGGCACCGATAGCGCCAAAGGCGGGTGCGTCGGCTCCACCTTGACACGTTCCAGAGCGCCGTCGAAACGATGCTGGAACTCGTGCGTGGGCGATGCTAGACTGGCGCCGCTCTCGCTATTGCTATCGCCACCGGCGCCATGCATCGTCATCATCAGCTCCTCCTCGTCCTTCAGACAGGCTGATTCCAGATGCTTGTTGAGGTACGACTTGAGCGCGAATGTCTTGTGGCAACGCTTGCACTCGAAGTTCTTGTCCACCGAGTGGGTCTGCATGTGCGCGCGCAGATTCGAGCGATCCGCAAAGGCCTTGCCGCAGTGGGCGCAGCCGTAGGGTTTTTCTCCAGTGTGGGAGCGCAGATGGCCCTGAAGTAGCCAGGGACGGGAGAAGAGTTTGCCACAAACGCCGCAGCTATGCGAGAGCTTATGGGTGAGCACGTGCATGGCCAGCGCCGGCATCGAGACATAGGCCTTGCCGCAGGTATGACACTTCTTTGCAGACTGTGAGTCGAGAGAGCGATGGGTCTGCTTGTGGCGCGACAGGTTGCTGGAGGTGGCATACTGCTTGCCACACTCGGAGCATGTGTACTTGGTCTTCTGCTGGTCCTGCACCACAACGGCGGCTGGATCGGCCACATGCTTGCGCTTGGAGCGTCCGTCGCTAACGAAGAAGGCCTCGTAGGTGTAGGCAACTGTTTTGGCTGCTCCATTCTGACCATTATCCCCGTCGTGGTGGCCTTGCAGCGGACTCAGCGGACCATGTTCTCGACTCTGATGCAATTGCAGCTGGTTAGTGGTGTTGCTGTTCTCATTCTGCACGCTGGCCGGGCTGCTGGGCTGTCGCTCGCTCCCAAGGCTGCCAAGGCTGTCGCTAGCGCTCAAAGCGCTCGAGGCATTGCTCAAGGGGCGTTGTTCATTAACGGCGCTGGCTGCTGCAGCCAATTCGGCAATCGATGACGTGCTGCGTACATGCGCATGCGCCTCCAACGTCTGCGCTCCAGAGTGGGCGAGGGCGTGTGAGTGGGGTTGCTGCTGCTGCGGCTGTTGTTGTTGTTGTTGTTGCTGCTGCTGCTGCTGCTGCTGTGGCTGTTGCTGCAGTGGCAAGTGATGCGATGAATGCGATGGCGGCCGATGCTGATGCAGTTGATGGGGCTGCGTGGGCGGATGGAATGCGGTCGAGGCGCTCAGGTCGAGTATGGCATGAGCCGCATGCAAGTCCTCCTCAGCCGGAATGCGCTTACGAAAGCCAACAATTGCAGCTGCACCGCTCTCCACGTTACTTGCATAGTGCGTGGGTTTGTCCTCCAGCGAGTAAGGCCTATAGATGTCCTTCTTCTTTGGCGGCAATGAGATAGTTGCACCCGTACTGCTAAAGCATTTCCGTTCGCTGGCTGTGTGTCCCAACAAATGCTCAGCCGCATAGGACTCGGTCTTGATGTGAATGCTATGCGGACTGTAGCGATCGCTGCCATGGCTTGTGGGCGAGCAAGACGGCGAGGAGGTCGTTGACGAGGGCGGCGTTTGGTACGAGGACAAATGCTGCATGGCGACGACCGTCGGCTGCTCGTGAGCTGGATTTGTGGTTGCCGCGACGCTGCTGTTGGAGGCGGCTGCCACCAGTGCTGTGGCCGCTGCACGAATAACCGTTATCTCGCTTTTCATTCTGGGCAGGTACGCGGTGTAATGAAGAGGCGATAATTCGCGCGTATATCCTGCAACGGCAAAACGAATAAAAGGCATGCATTAGAGCATAGGTGGGGCAAAAGAACAGGCCCCAAAACTGAATGTGGGAACTTAAAAAAAAATTTACATAAATATAATCCTTGATCATTGAGCACAAGTCTCAAGAAAGCAGTATGTTCTTTGAAGAACCTATATAGCTTCCACAATACATTTCCTTTTATAATGAAGTGTTTTGCTTACAGCTCAGACGAAAATAAAATTGTTTATTATTATTATAAAATGATAAGCATTGTATTTTCCTATTTAAAGAGGTTAAGCATTTCGATAGTGAAAAAGTGACCTGAATTATATTTTACTAAAAGTATCTTGTTTATTCTGCAAAATGAAGTGCCTCTACCTTAATATCGAAACCAATAGGATCTGCATATTTGAGTTTAAATTTCATTACCAAATATTTTCACTGTAAAAGGTTAAAGGCTTAAAAGCATAGTCCAAGTATGTCTAAAGGCAACCAACCCATTAATGAAATATTTATTTGGTTACAATATCATAATGAATTATAAATTAACAAAGTTCGAATTTTTAAAGATGCATATGCTTTGCAAATACTCATTATTTGTTTTGAGTGTGGTTCCCCTAATAGTATTCCAATAAAGCCGAAACAATGTGCAACAATTTGAGCAATTGAAGGGTCATTAGGCACAAACTAATAAGCCATACCCACAGCCCGTTTTGTGGCACTACTTACCATTATAGACATTTGTGGCCACGCGCGTCGCTGCCTCGGGCGAGTGCGGCGGCGGACTGGGTGCCGTAGTGCCAGCCGTTGGTGAGGAGGGACCCCAGCACTTGGCCGTTGGTGTCGCTGTTGTGGTGTTTGTTGCTGTTGTTGTTGTTGTTGTGCTCTCGGATAGTACTTCTGCCGCGGCAGTTGTGCGTTGCTTGTCCAACTTTGCGCTCGTCACGACCTTGGCATTGTCGCCGACCACATCGATCTCCTCGTCATCGTCCAGTGTGGAGCGTCGCGACTTAAGTGCCATAGACGCTCCCGTTGTGGATGTGGATGTGGGTGTGGGCGTAGGCAAGGACGAGGGTGAGCTCGTATCGCGTTTTTGTATGATGCTAATGCTCATGCACGCATCAGTGATGGAAGCTTCGGTTGTGTTTGTTTGGCTATCCTCGGCACGGTCGAGCCAAGGATAGGCCTTCCATTTCTTGGCAATCAGGCACCGCGGCATGGTGAAGCGATATGGCCAAATGAATCAAATAAGTGTTAAGTGGTAGTAGTGGGCAAGAATTGCGGCCTGGGACTGGTTATGGATCTGGGCTTGGTCCAGCAATTGGATTCTTGAGTGTAGTTTGTCGAGTGTCGAGTGTATGGAGTGTCCGTGAGGTGAATATTTAGTTTCGAACGAGCAAAGATCGTCGTAGGTCGTAGGGTATACGTATGTTGCAAAAGCGGAAAGGAAATGTTGCAGTTTTTATCTCGTTACGTTTAACTCATGTGAAAAAAGAGTTGGCTCGCCGAAATGTTTGGTAAGATTTATTGTTAAGTTGTTGGCATTGTAGTGCTGGCGGCGTGTTATTTCAATTGCATTTTAAAATGGTAAATTGGTTTGTTGTTGTTGTTGTTGTAGTTGTTGCTATTAGGACTTTTCAAATTTCACAGCCACTTCACACATTTTTCCGTTAGGCCTCGAAGCGCAATCAGCAAAAACACAGAGCAGACGATACCGCTGGAGTCTCTCTTTTGGCCAATTTTGTTGGTCAACTTTTCGACACGTTTTGCTGCGTGTTGTCGTTCGTTTATCGATTTTTACATTCGCGTTTACGTTTTTACGTTTTGTTTTTACACAATGGGATTAAACATAACGGTTTCGCTATAGTATTTGATGCATGCGTTCATATACATATATGTATATCCTTTGGCCTGTTACTCTGCGCTGCTTCCTTTTTCTTTACTCTCTTTTTCTTTGCTTTTTGCTTGTGTTGTTTGGCTTTGCTTTATTTCTTTATTTATTTTTTTATTCTTTTGATTTTATTTTGTTCAAACAATTTCAAACAAAACTTTTGATGTTGATTTAAATAATTTGATTTTCTTGTTGTGTTGTTTTTGTTTTGTTTTTAAATATGTTTGTTAGAAAATAGAAAATATAGGCGTAGTTGTAAAGTTAAAGTTGACGCGAGTTGAGAAGAGTTGAGTTTTAATTATTGTTGTTGTTGGTAGTGAAAAAATTGATTTAGGAGAAAATATAATATTATATAAGATAGAGAAGAAATGCGAACGAACCGAACGTAAGCAACTCTTGAATGCTTATGAACGTCCAACTGAACGAAACGTCACTTATAAGGGTGGAAGAACGAAATGGCAAAGAGCGCACTCCAACGGAACAAATGGAATATTGAACTGCCCTTAAATGACAACCCCCAAAGCGCTGTTGCTGTTTCTGTTGCTGCTGCTGCTGCTGTTTCTGTTGCTGTTGCTGGCGCTGTTGCTGGCGCTGTTGCTCTGGACTGTTGCTGTTGCTGGCGCAACACATTGCGCATATAGGGCTGATTTTATACTCGCGTGTTGCATGTGGCATGGATGTGGATATGGAACGAACGTTTGTGTTACAGTGCGAGTATGTTACAGAACTTGGCACCGCCACTGGGCTCATATTTAGGGGTATGGGTGAGGCTCTTCCTGCCGACAATCAGGAAGTGTTTCATTGCCATTCCGTGCACATTCTCTGCATTTAAATTGTTGCGTTTCTCTCTCCACTCTCGTCCTTTCTCTCTGTCCCCCGTGTCTTCCGTGCTTGGCAAAAGGCAAAAGGCTGCGATACCTGAATTGGCTCATGGCTCCTTTTTGTTATTGAACATGACGGACCAACGATGGGGTGGATTTTTGCAATCGCGCCGAATGTCGCAGTTAAAGTTATGCGAGTTAAATGCTGCTGTTGCATTTGTTGCTCAACTTTGATTTAGGCAAACGATCCAGACAGTTGATGGCAGCCAAGCAAAGGTGGTGGGGTATAAATTAAAAATATTGAATGGCACTTTTATTTCCTGAAACCATTCAAACGTACAAGATTTTAAGTTGCACCCCTACTTGGAGCATCGGCTTCCTGTGCAATTGATCCCACAATTCACGTTGTTAGTGACGCTGTCGCTGACGCTGACGCGGACGCAAAGCCCAAATTCCACTTTTTGAAAATTCTTTGAATTGTAACGTATAGACCATCTGTGGAATGGCGTTGCACTAATTACAACGAGGGGCCCCTACGAAGCCCTATATATGCACCATTCGGTGAAACCACACATGTCCTGGCTGGGCCGGAACATATTTTCTAGACAGACACACACAAACGCAAGGCATTGCATCTAAATGGTAATCTGCTTTTCTAGCTAAACAAAAACTCAAGGCGACCCTTTTTAAAAGCGCCTGTCAGACCATATACGGTAATGCTCGCATGTAGGTTTATTCAAAGGTATATAAATACATACAAACATACTCGTACATGCATAAGTAAGAGTATAAATTTAAAAGACGCACCTCAAAATTGTTGCGCTTCGTTAGCCGCTTTCGGGGCGCGATCGCCCAACTTTCCAAGTCCTTGCGCAGGCGTAGACGCACTCAGGCGAACGATCCATATGGCTTCGGGACACGCGTCACTCACGACAGGAAACCAAATTATGCATTTTGGCTAGCCTACGGCCACTCACCTGGAACAAGGACAGGACAGAACAATATGGTTAATGCAGTCCTCAGTCCCAGACCCAGTCCTCCACCATAAGCCCTTCCTGTCGCGTTTTATGTTATTATTAGTATATTTATATGTGTTTTAGGGCAAAACAAAGGTGCACCACAAGCGCTGCCGGTACTTGTGGTGGTGGCGGTGGCAGTGGCGGTGGTAGTGAAGGAGCAGGTGGTGGTGCTCTAACAAAGCCCGGTGTGCCGCCATCAAAGCACAGTGGGGTATTATGATTTTTAAAAAAGCTTTTCAATTCATTTATCTCATGCACCAACTATAATAAGTTTTTCAGTTATTGCTCTAAGGTCAGCTAAAAAAGAGTTATTCTTTCTTGTTCTTCAAACGCTGAAAAGGCATCCACCTTCTCAGTATTGAGAGGCAATACACTTACATTAATAAAATTAATGTACTCGTTTATCAAATGAAATATTTATTAATATTTGAATTACAATTGAATTCCATTTAATTTTAGGAAAATTTAATGTCTAATGTTGTTGTATATATGTATAATATAAGTTAAGCTATTAATTTTAGTTAAATGTTTCTTTTCAATTTACCATTTGAGGCTAACTGCGCTGTTAAGTTTGTTTGGACTATTGACGTCTTTAACCATATAGCTAGCCGGATTGCAAACAAAATCCCGTAAACCTATTCGAAGCGTTAATAGATATTATTGAAGTAATTTCAAGTTTTTTTCGTGGTGCTCTTCTCTCTGAAGTTGAAATAACACAGTATTGTACTTTTTTAACATACTATGTCGACAGCCTATATTTGTTGTCGTAATTATAAAATACATATATTCTTCCTTAGTCTTAATAGATGCTTTTTAACTCTTAGTGATCGTGGTATATTTTAGGAACCTTTTGTTCACAGGGCTGGTTCTCAATCCAATCAGCATTTATTGAGACTCATTTGACAGTTGTAAAAATTCACTTTCGTGTTATTTATTATTTTTTGATAAAATATTCTGCATATTTAATTACGAAACTATATCGTAAAAGTACTAATAATATATGAATAGATAATCATTGCAACCCACTGTGCGTCGTTTGGCTCCAGTTGAGCGCTATTGTGAGCGTGTTTTATTATTCTTTTTTTTTTTTTGGTTTGTAGTTTGCGAAAACAGGAAATGCTCTACAAGTGCAGCTGGCCCAGCTGGTGGGTGTTGGCTTGGGTTGGAGGACACGTGGCTAGTGTGCGTAAACTTGTCAGCTTGCCAACTGCCTTAACGTTGCTTAGCTGCCGTGTCAAAGCCCAGGCTCAGACCTAGGCCCAAGCGTAGACCAAGACACAGGCCCAGAGCCATGCCCAAAAACCCCCCAGTCATGTTTTGTCCAATGTCACCAGCAAATGCCGTGTGCCCAACGAAATAGAACACAAGAAGTCTATCGAGCGAAGTGTGACGTTCGCGTGGCACGGCCAGGAAGTGGCAGCTGTAGCAGAAACTGTTGATCCTACCCCGCACCCAGACCCGCTGCCTCATTTAACCGAACCGAAAGCGAACCAGGTGTCTCGCATGCTCTTTCTGTTTTCCTTTCAATGATGTATAAATGTATGTACGTTTGTGTGCAGCTATTAAAGTGGCAACAGGAATGGGAAGAGGCACGAGTTGCTGCTGCTGATGTTGCTGTTATTATTGTTGTTGTTGTTGTTGTCTGGCTGCCGAGTTTTTCCAAATGTTTGTTCCTGCGCTTGCTATAATTTCATTGTTACTCCTTTAAATGGCTTTGCAACCACCACCACCACCACCACCGCCACCGTCATCATCGCTACCAACAACAGCCCGTCATCACCACCAGCGCCACCCCATCAGGATTTTGGCGTTTACATAGAAACAGCAAACAGGTATTACAACAACAACAGCAACAACAACAGTAGCAACAGCACCATGTTTTACTAATGCGTGTGCCTGAACTTTTTTTTTTTGGGTTTACGTCATCGTCGAATTGTGCTTCACTCCTTTCGATTGCCAACTTTTGAGCCTGGTCCGCAACAGGATATACGAGTAGAGAATGCAACTCACTTTTTTGGATTCTCCGACTGGACAGCACACACTAAACGCTTCTCAACCTCCTCAGCTAGCGGTTGTAATTTGAAACTTTGTATTTTAATTACATTTCCCCTAACTCTAACCAACAAATCTCTCGACTGCGAATCAACACATTGCGCCGAAAGGTCGAGCGTCCGAGCAGCTGTTGCCATTGCAGCTCTACAGCTCTACAGCTCTTTGGCTCAATGAATGCACAAGCAACGAAACTCACAAATCGTTAGATGTTAGAGAGTTCAAAGACCTCGTCGATATGCGAAGAAAGGGCATGGACACGTACCCTGCGTCCCAGGTAGGGAAAACAAAAAAAGGACAAAATATTTTTGGTAGCTTAGCTATGGGTCGTTGTGCGATCCCATTGCCGTAGCTGATGCAGTCAAGGGACATCATTGCCGATCTACATATATGTGTACATATAGTATACACACATACATACATAGAACATCCACATCAGCAAGGGCTTCGACAACATCAGCAACAACAACAGCTTGTAAAAAAGTGCCGAAGGGCGAGTCGAGCTGTGAGCCGAGCTGCGAGTAAAATGCGCGCGTTGCTTTTCATTTGCTTTTCAACAATTTCCCAACAGCTGTCCACGTTTGCATTATTAAATTTTCTGATGAGCTGCATCAGCAGCAGCAGCAGCAGCAGCTGATTCCCTGCCACGGCGCTGACGGCTGCACCCAGTTCCAGTTCTTGAATTTCCTTTGGGTTACTGCCCCCGGGCTCAAAATGCTCATATGTGTGTGTTTGTGTTATGAGCGTTATGTGTGTTTGCTGTATTTTGAATTCATCAATTAATGGCCCTGCTATTGAAGAATGTGCCAAAAGTTTGAGTAGTTTATGCGGCGGCACTTCAACTAAGTAATTACTTGCTAGATATTCCCACATGCCTGTCTGCCTACCTTCCGAAGGACAAATAAGTGTGTGTGTGTGTGCATACAGTGGGGATCGTATAAAAAAATGATGTAGCCTGAAATTCATATTACTACTATGTGTCGTTTGTTATACATACTTTTTTTAAATTAAAATTATTGCTGAAATCAAACAAATAGTCAATTCGAAAAGTCTATAAGTATTTGAAAAAGAAAATTTAAAAGATATTTTTTGCCTGATATTTATAGATGGCAAAATTTTAAGTAACGCTAAAATAGCTTTTAATTAATAAATTCAAAAAGCAATGCATCCTGAACAGTGCGTATATTGTTTGTGTAGCTACTGCGAAACGATCGACCTTAATCCTGTTAAGCAGAAATTTGTTTC